GATCGCCCGCCGTATCGCCGCGACGCCAGCTCCGCCCTCTCCTCAGGCACAGGATATTCTGATGAGCTGGGTCACTGTGGGTTTCCCTACAGGAGTTACTTACTAGCCCCAGTATAGTATATTCAGGAGACAGAGTTCCTTTGAAAGAAAAAGAGACTGTTTACTTTTTCACTGAGAATTTAACAAAAAGGATAACAAATACTCCAAAAAAGTAAAATGTTCGCCACCTTGAGTTATTTATAAAAATAATAAAGGCAGGATAAAAAATCTAAAAAAAATTGATACATTTATAACACAAGGAACTCACATTGACAGGAGAACATTTATGTCTGCTTGTTTGAGATTTAGCTGCATATATATTATGCTAGCATCAGAGCAATAATCTATATTTGTTTCTTTGAGATATTTTTACTCACCAAAACCATGGTTTGTGACCTATGTTTAGAAGATGCAAAAGAAGAAAAAAAATCTTACATTGGCAAATGATAAAGGTTTAGAAAAAGGGGATCCTTGAATGAAGGTTCAAAAAAATGGTAAAGATTGTGAGAAGCCATTCCACCAAGGCCAAAGTCACCTGGCTGATACCACTCCGCTTGGACGGGGAAGGGATCACCTGCAGGACACTTTAGAGTAAGTACTGGATGTACCAGGAAGATCAACATCTTCACTTTTGGTGAAAAGATCTGTCCATCCATAAGAGGTACATAATTTATCTTGGTCTAGATTGAATAAAGGCTAGGTCTATCTTTGGGAATTCATGGCCTAACAGAAGTCCATCATAATCAGGATGAATCCAAAATTGTCTTTTATATCACCAGCATTGTAATAGAAAACCTAACAGATAAAACAGGAGAAAGAAACTTGAGGAAGTGAAGCTAAGAGAATCCTTACTACCTCTTCCTTATAGAGGACAGATCTCCCTATAGGTTAAGGTTAATTTATAGTCACACTGATTATTTTTGAATTTGTCTTACATTCTGGAAAGACTTTGAAATGTTGACCTAGGGTGGAAATACTAATTTTGATCATTCCCAGGCAACCTAATTACAATTTGATGGTTTTCATGCTGGGAAATATTACTTTTTTCTCTGCATCTGATCTCTAGCTTTCACTGCTTCTTGTGATGTAATGCATGGGAGATGGTTGAAGCTGCAAGTGAGCAAAAACCAAGAAAAATAACATTGGGGAGGTGGGGAATAGAATAGAGAACCAGTAGAAGAGAATATATATATATCTTAGGGTTGAAATGTAGAGCTTGGTTGTTTTCTTGCAGATGTTTCATTACCCAACTAGGTAATGTTTTCAGTGCTAGAAGGGAGTGGAGTTTGTTCTCTGTTTATATATTGATGTTATGATTTCAATGCATAGAAAAACTAGTTGATGGAGATTTGTAATTTAGTAACAGGAGCAGAACTTCTGCTCTTAACTCTCAGGTGCCAAAATAATTTACACCATGGAAACGTTTAGATTTCCTCCTTCTATGACCCCAGAAGCAAAGATAATTTGATTAAGTTGCTGGATTATTTGGACAGGAAAAACAAAAGGTAAAGATTGCATAATTATATTTCATATATCTTATTGAGATGAGGTAAGGCTCTTGCCCATGTTCATTGGAATTGTTTTTATTTTCTTCCAGCAGCCCTCTAGGTATCTCTTCTGTCTGTGGGGAACACCTTTGTCCAACTGAGTGGTGCCCTGTCTGTTCTGGAAGGGTCTGCACTTGCCCTAAAGAAGATTCACAGTTTGAGGGTGTTCCTAGATCCATCACTGTCACTAGATCGCCAGGTGGCCTCGGTGGGATGAAGTGCTTTTTATCAGCTTCAGCTGCTTGACCAACTATGACCTTATTGCAATGCTTTGAATGTGGTGCTGCCTTTGAAAACAGCGTGGAAACTTCAGCTACTTCAAAATAGAGTAGCTAGACTGCTCATGGGGATATGAACATATCATGACAGTTCTTCACATATATACTGGCTAGTTTTGACCTTTAAAGCCCTAAACATAGGACCAGGTTACCTGAAGGAACATCTTCTCCCAAATATACCTAGCCAGATTTTAAGATAATCTAATGAGGCCTTCCTGTAGGTCTCCTCACCAAAAGAGGTGAGGTGGGCCTCTAAAAGGAGATCTTTTTCTGTGGTGATACCCCATTGATGGAATTCCCTCCCAAGATCGGCTCAACTAGTTCCCACGTTAGAATGGTTTCAGCACCAGGTGAAGACTTTTCTATTTCCCCATTCAGTTTTTGAACGACCACCTTGCTGCTGCCTAGCTCATATGGTGTTTTTATTTTGTCTTCTGTTTCATTTTATTGCATATGTTTTCACCCAAATTGTGTTTAGCAGCTTTGTGTTTTGGTAACACAGCATTGTATTTTTTTAACAGTCAAGTAACTCTGTAATTTTAACTTCCTTGCACAAGTACCTGAGAGGACATCCAAATCTTTAATGTCTCACAAAAGTCCAGAAGGGTTGGGACCATCCTGATTGCTGGGGGACTCTGCTCAATAGGGCATGTTCATAAACTTTTCATGTTTCTAGATCAAAAGCTGCTAGACCAAAGACTTTTGGGTGATCCTCTGTGGTCATTCTTGGAATAACAGATAGAATTAGGGTAGAAAAAAACTCTAAATTGTTGTCCATCCTTTAATGCTGACCAAAAGGTGGGAAAGCAAGCCACTGTCCCTTACCCAAGGTCAGCCTCCTTTTTAAAATCTTCCCATTATGGAATTTCTAGTGTATTAAATTGTTATCTATTAAATGTTCTTAAATGTTGAAAATACTTTCAGAAGAAAAAGGAATAGTCCCATTATTTAATAATTTATTTTTATTAGATACTCCCTGTAATTTAAATGTGGCCTTAGAAAAATGATATAGCATTTAGGGAAAAAGATACATGCCAGTAACTCAGCACCAAAAGACAAAATGGAGAAGATCTTCATAGACACCATGGCTCTTCCTTTGGCACTTAGATAGGTTGGAACAAAAGACACCAACGCATTGCAGAAGGCCAACATGCTGAAGGTGATGAATTCATTAAAAGTGTTACGAGCACGAAATGCCACAATTAAACTGGCAATGGCCAAGAGGCCCATTAAGCTCAGGATACAGTAAGAGTATGACCAATCACTGCATTGCAGAATAATTTCTTCCATTTCAGAGTAGCTGTCTAATTCAGGGAAGTGGGGAGAGGTTGACAACTGTAATCTATAAATGCTTCCTTGGAGAAGAGAGCAGGAAATGATGGTGGAAAAGGCCAATCTTTTCCCCATCCAATTCCTCATCCTAGATCCTGGCTTGGTGGCCATGAAAGAACACACAAGAAATGGACACTGAGAAGATGAAACCAAATGCAGACTGTCTAGGAAGTTCCAGATTTTTCAACAGCTGAATCTGAGAACATCCAGAGGAGAAAAAAGAAACAATAATGTTGAAAATCCAAATCAATTTGATTCCAATTTTCCTTTATTATCTTAGTGCTTATATTTTCAACTGGTATTTTCTGGAATATAATTGTGCCATTTCAAAAACTTTCATGTGGACACTTGTTCATATACTTGGTCTACTTTACAATAGCTTCTCTCTGGTTTTCCTAAAAATAACTTGTCTTCCCACACTAATCTCTATGAGATTTCCTTGGAGGTTGTTGGGAAAAAGCTTCAGTTTAATATGGGTAGAATTTCCCATACAAATGTCTTTCTTAAATCCATTTTCAGAGCTATAAGTAAATCAGACTGGTAAATGCCCCCCCCTTTCCCAAGAATCACTTATAAAATACTTTCTATTTACCTTATTAACAAAAAGACATAATCAAATAAAAAAAGACAAAGTTATTTAAACATGTCTTCTTATCAGTTGCTCCCTGTTGTTTAAGTCAGGCCTCAACACAATAATGTAACACTTGGGGAAAAAGATACATCCTAGGAGCCCAGCACTCGAGCACAAGATGGAGAAGATCTCCACAGCTACCATGGCTTTTCCCTTAGTGCTCAGATATGTTGGAAGAAAGGAGATCCACACACTGCAGAAGGCCAACATGCTGAAGGTGATGAACTTGGCTTCATTGAAGCTGTCAGGAAGTTTACGAGCCTGGAAAGCCACAATGAAGCTGGCAAAGGCAAGGAGCGCCATGTAGCTCAGGACACAGTAAAACATAAAGACTGACCCTTCATTGCATTGTAGAATCATTTCTTCAGTGACTGAGTGCATATCTAACTCTGGGAATGGGGGAGAGGTTGACAACCACACAATACAGATGCACGCTTGGAGGAGAGAACAGAAAAGGACAATAGAAATGGCCAGTCTTTTCCCTACCCATGTCCTCATCTGAGATCCTGGCTTGGTGGCCATGAAGGCGAGAGAAACAAGGATGCGTTTGGCCAACACACAAGAAATGGACACTGAGAAGATGAAACCAAATGCAGACTGTCTGAGGAGACAGGTGACTCTCTCAGGTTGTCCAAGAAAGAGCAAAGAGCAGAGGAAACAGAAGAGAAGGGAGATGAGGAGAGTGTAGGTGAGATCCCGGTTGTTGGCTTTGACGATGGGACTGCCTTTGTGCCTAATAAATGTTCCAAGTACCCATGTTGTAGTGACGAAAAATAAGCTAGCAACAGTGGTGAAACTGAGTCCTAAAGGCTCTTCATAAGACAAGAAACTAATTGTCTTCATCATGCACCCATCTTTGTCATGGTTTGCATATTGATCATCAGGACATTGAAAACAAGCAACTGTGTCTAAAAAGAAAAAGCCTTATGTCAATGTGGATTCATGAGGAAGATGATTGATTATTGTCATCTTTATCCTCACCCTGACATTTATGCCATTGGTACAAAATATACAAGCCACAGTATGAAAATATATCTGAACATCTCCCTATGTATATTTTGTGTGTTGTTGGAATTAAATCAAATATTACTTTGAATAGACACAAGGAAGCACAGCATAGTGCAATGGTATGTGGGAAAGTCCTTGGGAGACTGGGCCAAGAGATACTGCTAAGGGAATAGTCGGATAAGAGACAGCATAGCCCACAGTTGGATAGTAGGTGGGGCAAGAGGCTCAGAAGGGACCGTCCCTAGTTTCTCAGGCTGTAAAGAAGAAGGGGGGAGCATTGTGCCTTCAGACTTGCAAAATTCTGTCAATGTAGCTTTACAATATAGTAGAATTAGCTCATCTGGTTGTGATTCCCATCTGGTTTACCCTGCAAGGCCAACACATAGCCCCAGGAAAATCTCCATCCATTTTTAACTTTATTTGTGTTATCATCATAAAGGGCTGTTCCAATGAAGATTCACCTGAAGTGATCATGTTCATATTTAAAACCATACTGACTTCAAGATCACAGTTCAAAATATAGTATGCAAATGGAAAGTTTTCACCAAATTTCAAGTGAAAATAAAAGACAATATATCAAGAAGGAAATTTGAAAAAGATCAATATATTACACATATTTCAAGGGAAAACTATATAGGAAACATAATTTTCTGATGCTGCAAGAGAAATATGTCTCATTTTTATTTCATAATTTTATTGTTCTTTTTGTTTTCTTTGTTTCTTTTAAAACTTCATTTCTTGTGTTTCCCCCTTTAAAGAGAATATTGAGTCAGGCAGCATCAAAAATCAAATACATAGATACCTATTACACATCCTAGAGAGCTACACGCTCTAGGGAAAATATGAATAAGGAGGATTTTTGGAAGAAGCGAAAATGTGCAGAAATGGAGCATAATAAATCTGACTGGGTGGAAATGAAAAGAATTAAAATTTAAGGTAGAGAGTAATTTATTTCTATTCCTCATAATTTCTATATGATTCTTATAATTGTTAAATTAAATGTTTCATTAGGTGGCCTTGTATGGCTAAGAAGTAAGAATTTACTTCCATACATTTCAGACATTCTGATTTCATTATGAAATTTTCAGAGCATTCCTGTTTAGTTGGTACACACTGAAGGTTTCTGGCTTCCACATCAATACTAAGTGTTTCAGTCCAAATAACTACACATCAGTTCTCC